TCCTATTTATCGGATCGGTATCACTTTGTCAATGTGAATCAAAAGTCGTCACCCTACTCTAGAGTGGAATTCGGTGTGCCCCAGGGATTGGTGCTCGGACCGATTCTTTTCACACTCTAAATGCTGCCGTTAAGAAACATCATTAAAAAGCATGGAATTAACATCCACTTCTATGTCGATGAAACCAAATCAGACGGATCAGTTGAAAAGGCTCAGTGCCTGCATAAAGGACCTTAAAACGTGGATGACTGTTAACTTTCTACTTCTTAACCCGGAGAAGACAGAAGTGATCCCACTCGGTCCAAAGAGCCTGCGAGACTCCCTCGCCGACCAGATAATCACTCTCGATAAGGTCAGTATTGTACCCAGCAACACTGTGAAGAATCTTGGGGTCCTCTTCGACAAAGAACTCTCCTTTAAGGCTTATACAAACCAAGCAACTAAAACGGCATATTTCCACTTGCGGAACATTGCTAAAATCAGGAATAATCTTCCTAAAAGCGACGCGGAAAAACGAATCTACTTCTTTGTCACCTCTAGGCTTGACTGGCAGCGTGCCCTAAAACCTCTTTGAAGAGCTTCCAGCTTGTTCAAAATACAGCAGCAAGGATCTTAACAGGTACCAAAAGGAGGGAGCACGTAACTCCGGTGTTAAAATCAATCCACTGGCTTCCTGTGAAGTACAGAATAAAGTTTAAAATTCTTCTCTTGGCTTACAAAGCCATAAATGGCTTGGCTCCCTCGTATCTTCAAGACGTGTTAATGTCTTATCAACCAAGCCGTGCCCTACATTCTAGGCTAGGCTAAAACAATCCTCTTTAGTTTAGCATATGATCGGAAGGTAAGACTCAGGGAAGGCTAAACTCCTCAGACTGTCAGTCAAGCTGCATAGGGAGTCAGTTTGCTGGGAGAAGTATGGTAACTTGAGCACTATCCTCTCCTCCTTCCTACTTCATCTGTTTTGCATTAATAGGATTTTGACTGTAGTGTGTTCATTGCTATTCACCCGTTGTCCCATTGTCTGTTTCATGGTACGACTACGGGACCTTTGAACCTGGCCTCCTCCATCTACACCTGCGGACTGCCCTGCCCAACCTGCCTGGGAGCGCTTCAGTCCTGCACCGGACCTGTCCACGCTCTGCGGCCGCCGGGCCACGTTCTGTAGCCTGGATCTATAGCCCGTCCGTCCATTTGGAGCGGATCCCTTTCTCAATATGGGTCTCCCCTAGGTTTCTCACTTTTTTCCCACTGGGTTTTTGTGAGTTTTTCCTTGCTGATGCAGGAGGCTCTGTTGGACAGTTAGTGTCCAACAAAAGGATGATCCAGGACACCTTAACATTCTACAACATGTATGGACATTTTTTAACATGAGTTCTATATTCGTTCTGTGTTTTAACTGTTGATTCTCCGATCGGTGTTGGTTATTTCAATGGTTTTGTTATATCCTCTGAGATGACTTCTGTTGTGATTTAGGGCTATACAAGAATACATTGTATTGTGTTGTATTGTATTGTAAACTAACTCTTATCTTGATTCTGACATAACACTTTTAATATTTGACAGCGCACTACTGGAATCAGCCAACTGCAATCTCCTAAACTTCACAGGCATCTCATTCATCACCACCCGGATTCTAGAGTGGATCTTACATCCCCACAACATAATCTCCAGGCTTTACATTGTACAATATCCAGTTTCTTTAAATTACTGTTAATTGCCGTATACAACACATCCAAAATCTAAAGCAGAGCTGATTAACGCCACATACACAATTTTTATACAATTCCGACTAGCTCCCCTGTCCTGTCCTCTAAGACGCCTCATCACGTTCATCACCTTTTTGCACTTCTCCATTACTTTATTAATATGGCCTGCCCATGTCAACTTACTATCAAACAATAACCCTAAGTATTTAAACTCACTCACTCATTCGAGATTCTTCCTATATAAAGTAAGATTATTATCATCTCCTGGGGCTACCGGTGTTCTGGGGCGCGGCCATTTTAACTATAGCGCCACTGGTGGCGGGCCAATGAATGGGTTGCTGGGGTTATTAAATGGGACCTGAGACGTGGGTTACATATAGATGTGGTCAAGGGAAGGAGTGTGTAATCTGACCAGCATATTTAGTAATATTATCCCCACTTATATCTGTATTACTGCTAAAACATTTGTCAAGCAGTCCTATCCAGATGAGTAAAGGGCCAGAACTTGTGTTGTTGTGTTTGTGTTTTTATCTTTTTAAAACAATGTTTGGCCTGAAGCGAACTCAAGGGGCGGGAAGGATGGAACTAATCGATTGCCCTCCCCCATTTGACAACTGGACATGCCTGGCAGCTGACTGCTCTTAATAAGCAAGGGGAAGTGTGAGGTGAAAGCACCAGGAGACGGAAGTAAAACAGGGACCCGTCAGAAGCGAATCGCAAGTGCCCGAGACGCATCACGCCATGCTGGAGCCAGGGACGGGAGACGCGTACAGGGGGGAGCCATTAGAGTCCACGATTCAACACCCAAAAAGAGCTAAGTAAAGGAAAGTCCTTTGTGTTATATCACACCTGTCCTCGTTCTACAACCGTCATTGGTGTGGCCTTGGTCCTCATTCTGTAGCTTAAGTCCTGGATCTATAGCCTGTCCGTCTTTGTGGAGTGGATCTCTCTCTCAATGTGGACCTCCCCGAGGTTTCTCACTTTTCTCCCACTGGGTTTTTCCTTGCCAAAGCATGAGGGTCTGTTAGACTGTTAGTGGGTCTAACAAAAATGACTGTGGTGATGATCTAGGACACTCTAATATTCTACAAGATTTATCAACATTTATCAACATTCATGGACATTAGTCAACTCCCCCTTTGGACCAATGCCAATGTGTTCTATAGTTTTTGTGTTTGAAATGTTTGATTCCCTAATCTGTGTTGGCAATTTCAATGTTTTTTTTTTGTTGAGTCAATCAATCAATCCATCCATTTATTTATTTCAAACCTGCACAAACATTTTTAAGACACTTGTAAACATATCCATGGTTTGAAAAGGGGGTTGGCAGAAGCAAAGCTTATTTATATCCAGTGATGGGAATAACGGCGTTACTAGTAACAGCGTTACTAGTAACAGCGTTACTAACGGCGTTACTTTTTTCAGTAACGAGTAATCTAACTAGTTACTTTGACTGTAACTATAACGCCGTTATCATTTCCGACATCCCGTTACTGCGCGTTACTCAAGACGCACAATGAACTTCTCTTTTTACTTCGTGATAGGACTCATGCGCGTGTTGTCATGAGAGAAGGGAGGATGAGAAAACCTCTCAGCAATTATTGGCTGATGTAAAACATATTTCCTTTACAATCTACATGTCTACAGTTGAGAGGATAGCTCATAAATTGTGTTTTTGAAACAAATATGGGTCTTAATTGCGCTCAACCACGGCTTGTATCACCGTGAGGTCAGCCTCAGAGGAGAGCATGTGAGCGCAGAAGTCGGCTGCATACAATTCCATCCAAAAGCTCCTTTCTCCTCCTGGTTTATCTGCTACAGGAGCAACAGGTTTGGCTAACATACATGTAACACATTTTAAGATAATTTAAAATGCACTTAGGGTAATTTTTCAATGACTATAGGAATGATAAGAAAGAAAGGTGAAGTGTAAGACGGTGGATTTTAGAAATTGGATGCACCCGGCTGCAGCTAGCAAAACAGAGGTGTTTATGGAGGACACACGCGTTTTGTTTTACTTTTTAAAACTCATTGGACGCATTTCCAAATGGAGGTTTACATATCTACGCTCAAACTATTATCTGGACTTAAACACAGAACTGGTCTGAACCGAAGTGGTCTGTGCAGGTCATTTATAAGGTAAGACCCATAACTCATAGTTTTGCGTTTTGTATGAACAAACAACAAACATGAAACATATTCTGCTGTAGCCAAACAAATTGTGAATATGCCGTTCTCTTGGTCCTGTTGATTTATATGATATATATGTTCATCTGATTGGGCTGAAGTCAGTGCTTCACCGGTGTTTCCACATTCACAGTGGCGGGTGTTGGTGTTTAGTGCTTACAGCACAGAGAGAGATGAAGAGTGAACAGGACTTCAGCAGCAAAACAGCCTTTTCTAGATGGAAATATTGGCACTATTTCAAACTCACTGAGGTTAAAGGTAAAAATGCGCACGTCGAGTGCACATTATGTTTCAGAACAAAACAAAAAAGTAACGCAATAGTTACTTTTACTGGTAACTAGTTACTTTTATAGTGGAGTAACTCTGTTAGTAACTCAGTTACTTTTTGGGAGAAGTAACTAGTAACTATAACTAATTACTTTTTCAAAGTAACGTGCCCAACACTGTTTATATCCAACCCCCTCTCACACAATCTCCACAACACAACCACAATGCAAAAAATCCCATTAAAAAAAAAAATACAAAGAAAAAAATCTATATCCACTTAAACTACCTCCACCAATAAAGTAAAGCACATCATTATACAATACTGTAGCAAAACAACCCTGGACAAGTCCTCTGAGATAATTGTTATATAAAGTCTCTGGAAGGTCTCTCGACACAGAGATACTGTAGAGCTGCATTCTTGGAGAAGAACCGTACACAAAAAGCCGGTAGTTTAACTCCGTTAGCATCAAAGCCCGCCCGTCACTTCCGCCCTGCGTTTTTCCCACCTCAGGCCAAAACCCTTGCCCCTCAGGTCTGAAGCCCTGAAGGGCAAGCTAAAAGATCAAGCCACTTAGAGCAGAGCAGCCATCCTCCCGTGGATTCCCCCACTCCCCACCCAGACATTTATTAAGGTGATGAAAATGGATGAATGGATTTATTATTTAGTGAAAATGTTTACTTAGTTCATATATGATTAACATATATATTTGCTAAAGGTTCTGCCCCGTTTTGCTAGGGCAAAAGCCATATTTGACAGAAGCCCACCCAACCTTTTTTCATCAGACATACACTTGCAGAAATGTGAGGGTGCAGCTTATCTGACTGTGTGAGGTTCCTTACCCAGACTGTAGAGAGCAGTTTGGTAGCCCACCAGCCCCATCCAGCAGACCACACCCCCTCGGCTGGGCTCCAAAGCCTTGTGTTTGCTGAAGAAGTGGTACACATCTCCTCTGTACAGAGTTCGAAGGTTTGACCTAAACATGACAGTGATACATCAAGAGAAACTGAAGCTGCAGAACACATACACTTACCACTGTGATGGCTGGGGCAACTTTTCAATTCAGAGATTTTCCATCCCAAATTAAAATTCCAAAATATTTTAAAATTCTGTAGGAGAATGAAGATGACCTCTTTTCCCAATGTAAACAATAAGGAATGGAAACAGACTCTCACTCGTTTAATTCATTCTGTGCTTTAAAACTGAGACTGATCAATTAAACTTTGTTTAGGTTTTGAATTTGATCAGCACACTTCTGTTCTCGAGAACAAAACAGACACACAAAACCACACAAAGTTGGTTGACTGGGTAGAACAGCATCTCCATGCTCTCTTGGTGAGAGCTTACTGTCTTCTGAGTCAGCTTAAACATGCGGCTCAAAATGGACAGTGCATTCAATGAAATGTGTAAAATATCAAAAAATGGTTTAGGGCAGATGAAGCTATTATTATACAGTGGGGAAAAAAATAATTCAGTCAGCCAGCAATTGTGCAAATCCTCCCCTTTAAAAATATACCTGTTGTTTAAAAATAAGTAATACCTTAACTATACAACATCCAGAAAATCACATGTGGAATCACATTGTGGAATATAAGTATATAGTCAATACCAAAATTCCATCTCAATACTTTGTTATATACCCTTTGTTGGCAATTCAGGGGTCAAACATTTCCTGTAATTCACACCCTGTTGCTGGTATTTTGGCCCATTCCTTCATGGAGATATCCTGTAGAGCAGTGAAGTTTTGGGGTTGCTGAGCAACACAGACTTTCAACTCCCTTCAAAGATTTTCTATGGGGTTGAGATCTGAAGACTGACACGGCCACTCCAGGACCTCTTTCAATGTCTGTCAATGTGTTTAAGATCATTGTCATGCTGAAAAACCCAGCCATGCTGATGGAAGGCGAGGCAGACCCTGTTGTAAACAAACCGGCGAATGTGACATCGGTCCGCATGGATCCCAAAGCTAAAAAGACAAAGAGTCCGTAAGAACCGAGAGTTCAAGGAAGATTGGACTGAAACGTTTGCTTTTATTGACAATGAGGAAGGACTGCTTCATGTTTGCTTTGTAATGAAAAATTTTCAAAAAACAAAAGGATTCATGTGGAAAAATATTTAACAAGGAATGTTCACATTTGCTGCTGACTGCCCAGTTTGAAGTGAGAGAAATGCGATCACAGTTCTTCTCCAAACTTCTACTGCCAAAGTTTTGTTGCAACGCGAGGAACAATGAAGCACAAAGTACTGTTCACGGTGATTACGTGAAGGATTCAGGATTCAGACGCGGTAAAAGAACGGACTATAAAGGACATTAACCCTTTAAGGCCTGACCCACCTGGTAAAACAGACCTGTAAAACCTAGGGCGGACTTCAGAACCACCCTCCAAAACCTGAATGTAACGCAGGTGTCAAATTGACAAACTGTATTATCTTGCGTTGGTTTTTATCTTTGAGCATGACGTCACTGCGTTTGACGCAACGTTCACCCAATCAGTGTTCAATATAGCCGCTATGCCGGAAGTGTTCAGTACTTGCAAGAGCAGAGCGTGCTTTGGGTGTGCTGCGGGTACGGTAACGCTTTTAACCATCAAAATCATTATTAACAGTCATGAAACTTACTTTGATTCATTTAACATGCAGGAGCCGACTGCCTTTCTGTCATTCGTTGCAAAACTGCCTCTTATGCTAGAGTTTACACGCGGAATTGGTGAGTTCGTGCTAACTTCAGAGTTCTCCATTCTGAGCAGTCTGTTACCTTCACTCACACAGATAGTAAACATGTCCCTTAATTCTGGAATATTCCCAAAGGCCCTGAAAACTGCAGTCATCAGGCCCCTGCTTAAAAAGAGCAGTCTGGATGCTATGGTTCTTAACAACTATCGTCCCATCTCAAATCTGCCATTTATGGGGAAAGTCCTTGAAAAAGTTGTCTACCAACAGCTAAATAGATTGCTTATAATCAACAACTCATTTGATATGTTTCAGTCCGGCTTTTGACCCCACCACAGCACTGAGACTGCTTTTGTCAAGGTAACAAACGATATCCGGCTGAACACTGACACAGGCAAAGTCTCAATCCTAATCCTGTTAGATCTGAGTGCTGCGTTTGACACTGTCGACCATGCGATCCTCTTACAGAGACTAGAGGACTGGGTTGGCGTCGCTAGTACCGCCCTAAGTTGGTTTAGGTCTTACCTTGAAGACAGGAAGTACTTTGTGGAGATTGGAAACTGTGTCATAGATCATATGGCCCTGACCTGTGGAGTACCACAGGGGTCGATCCTGGGACCTCTTCTGTTCAATCTCTACATGCTGCCGTTAGGTCAGTTAATACGCAGAAACAAAGTGTCCTATCACAACTATGCAGACGACACTCAGATCTATGTCTCACTGACTGCAGGAGAACATGGACCAGTAGACTCACTCCTTCACTGTATCCAACAGATCAGTGAGTTGAAGCAAAACAACTTCCTTCAACTAAACGCAGACAAAACTGAAATGATTGTCTTTGGTCCCCAGAAACAAAGAGAGAGCGTCATCTGTCATCTACAGTCTCTCTCCCTAAAACCTTCAAACAAGGTCAGAAATCCAGTGGTAATACTGGACTCAGACTTAAATTTTAATAGCCACATCAAATCAGTAACATCAGAAGCTTTTTACCATCTAAAAAACATTAATAGGATCAAAAACATAATGTCTAAAGCAGACTTGGAGATTCTTATCCATGCATTTGTCTCCAGTAGGTTAGACTACTGCAATGGCCTGCTCACAGGTCTGTCCAAACAGGCTGTAAAACAGCTGCAGTACATTCAAAATGCAGCAGCTCGAGTCCTGACTAGAAACAGGAAGTACGACCATATTAGTCTGGTCCTCAGGTCTCTGCACTGGCTTCCTGTGGCTCAGAGAATAGACTTTAAAACAGCTCTGCTTGTGTACAAGTCTCTCCATGGCCTCGCACCAAAATATATTAGTGACATGTTAGTACCATATGAACCAGCCCGGACTCTGAGGAGCACAGGGACTGGACTCCTGTTAGTGCCCAGAGTCAGAACTAAACATGGGGAGGCTGCTTTTCAGATTCATGCTGCTAAAATCTGGAACAGTCTTCCTGAAGATGTGAGACAGGCCTCCTCTCTGACAATGTATAAAACCAGGTTAAAAACAGTTCTGTTTAGCTGTGCATACAACTTAGGGATTTTATGTTTTTATCTTTCTTTTTAATGTTCTGTAATTATTTTAATGCTATCTTGTTCAGCACTTTGAGTTGCCTTGTGTATGAATTGTGCTATACAAATAAACTTGCCTTGCCTTCATTTGTATTGAGTTCGTTAGCTTAGCATTTCCCATTGACTTTCATTGTAAAGTTAGCATTGTGGTTTTGCCAAGTCTTTTCATGTTTAAAGTAATCTGTGTTGTCAAAGAGTCATGACAACTACATATACTGTTCATGTATAATGTGTGCAATTGTTAAGAGTGTAACAAACTACTTTAATGGCGTTTTTAGCCTATATTGTATGTTCACTAAACTCCTGAAATTTAACGTCTACTAAATGATTGATATCTCGGCAGATAGAAACATAATTTCAAAAGAATTTGAGAGCTGACACTGAATGCAGTGTATTATTATAAACCTTCAGTAGAATATTGCAAAAAATGTACAACTTCCACACAGGAAAGGTAATAAAACAACCAAAAATAATGTGAGACTAACACATGTTTCTCAATACAATTAGTCAGAATGAGTTTGGCAATAAAGTAGCACTAACTCTGGAAAAAATATATACAAAAATCGACTCTCAGCCCAAAAAAGTCAAATAATGATTCACAAGGCTCTTTCTTAAGTAAGCAATATAAAAAACACGACTGTTGTGGTTTGCTTTGTTTGATTTGTTCATAACATTTCACTTTTGTGCACAAATAACATGCATTGTCAATGCAAGCGAAAATGTAGGTACCTGAGCTTTAATTCAGTGAGTTTTGGCTGTGCTTCAAGAGGAGACTTGGGGGAGACATGGGGGAGAGACGGGGGTGACATGGGGGAGAGACAGGCAAGACCCGCACGTGCAACAAGCTGGGGATGGTCCTGATCGCGCAGACAGGATTGATTCTGTCCGCCCGTCTATGGTCTGCGGTACATGACCACGTTACGGCTGCGCGGTCGCTGAGGTGTTTCAAAGCGGCCACAGTTGCCCCGAGGTCAGAACGAAGGACGTTAATCCCGTTTGAGTACGTAACATTCGTTACGAAAATATCATTTCACAGAAATGATATCGATATAAAAATATCATTTCACAGAAATAATATTTTCAGCGAGAATTTGATGATCTGCAGATAATTCTCATCACAGGTATATATTGATGCATTTCATTGGTCAAGAGAATTAATCAATGAAGAGAATAGGTCAAAAAAAGAAAAAAAGAAGTTTCCTGGCCTTAAAGGTAGAAGTGTGCAACAGCGCTCCCAGCTTGAAAGGTAGAAGCCGGGAATGTGTTCCCGGCTTCAATGGGTAAATTCAGCTCCAGCGAATTAACCCATTGAAGCCGGGAATGTAGTGACGTGCTGTAATGCAGGTATATGAACTCTGAGCCAAAAAGCAGATTTGTTTACTGTGTTTCTACAATTGCATGAACTCAACAATATTGAGGTTGAACTTAAAGCACCATATATCTATAAAAAAAATATACTAATAATAATTATTAATGCATATTATGTATTTGTAGCCTATAATTAGTCATTATCGATAGTAGGCTAATATAGCTATTATAGCTTATACCCTGTGTTGCCATCATATACTGTAAGCCGTATATAAGGCTGTTAATTTTGTACATATTTTTCTCGAATTTTATTTTTCAAATATGGCTCTTTGAATCTTTTGAGTTGCCAACTCCTGATTTAAAAGGATCAATCGCCCAGGTCCCTTTGCAGAAAAACAGCCCCAAAGCATATTGTTTTCACCCCCATGCATGGTGTTCTTTGGATGCAACTCTGTATTCTTTCTGCTCCAAACCAAAAAGTTAAAATTGGGTTTCATCTAACCATAGGACATTCTCCCAATCCCAATGCCCCTCAAATCAAGGGCATTGAGGCAGAAATGCAGCTGAGTCTTTCAGTATGACAATGATCCTAAACACAATGGCTGGGATTCGAAGGAGTGGCTTCTTGCCGCGTTCAGACCGGATCATGCGTTGCGTCGGCTTTCAATGCAAAGTCAATGGTGACGCGCGTTCGAGCGTCAAAATGCATGAGCGTCTTGGAATGCACGCACAGACCGCGCTGGGAAGTCGAATCCATAGGAGATGGATTTTACTCAACCTTTCCTCGGGACGTTCATCCAGCAACCAATCAGAGAGCCACAAAGTGGACACGGGGACATTTGCGGACTGAGCGAGCAGACTGAAGACTCGTAAACAGCCAAAACAGGAGCTACATCAGGACTAAACCAGGTTTGACAATGGGGGATATAGTGCTCGTTAACATGTGAGTTTTCATGCTCCCGTGACTTTATGCAACTGCTTCGAGTGTGTTGGCCGATGTACCGTTTAATAATAAAATAAACTTATTGCGCACCTCCGTGAACACATACAGTACTACTGTTATATAAAGTCCGCGGAAGGTCTCTGAACACAGACTGTACACAAGAAGCCGCTAGCTAAACTCTGTTAGTGTCAGAGCCCGCCGGCTACTTCCGGGACTTCCGGCGCGTGCCAGACCCCTGCGTCTGAAAACTAGAGAACGTGCATTTCAGAGTTGCCGGTCTGAAAGCACCATTAAGAAAAATTTCAAGGTCCTAGAGAGTCCTAGCCAGTCTCAACCCCATAGAAAATCATTGGAGGGAATTGAAAGTCTGTGTTGCTCAGCGACAGCCCCAAAACATCGCTGCTCTAGAACAGTGGAGAAATGGGCCAAATTACCAGCAACAGTGTGTAAAGGTAAAGGTGCACTTTATTTATCCCAATAGGGCAATTCACTCTCTACATTTGACTCATCCTGATCAGGAGCCATAGTACAGCGCCAAGGGGCCCATCTCCAGATGTTGATGCTTGGCTTGGTCAGGACTACCTCAGCTGGATGATTTTACCTATTGTACATGTTTAGTGGTAGGGGAAACCAGAGTACCCTCAGGAAACCTAAGCAGACACAGGGAGAACATGCAGGACCTTCTTGCTGAGAAGCAAGAGTGTTATCCACTCAGCCACTGTGTGAAAACCAACAGAAAAGGTTTGACTTCTCATTACCCCCAAAGGGTATAAAACAAATTATTGAGATGGGCATTTATTGATGACTAAATAATTATTTTCCACCATTAATTGCAAATAAATTCTTTAAAAATCAGAGTGTGATTTTTTGTATTTTCTTGTTTCATTTTGTCTCTTATAGTAAAGATATTCCTATGTTGAAAATTACAGGCATTTCCCATCTTTGCACATTTTGTGCCAGACTGAATACGTTTTATCTCCACTGAATGTTCCGGTGGTGTAGTCATTAGTGTTATATAATGAAAATATTTCTTGGAAACCTCATATAAGTTATTTGAAGACACATTTCTACAAATGTTTTTCACTGTTCATACTAATTAAAAGACTTGATTAACTTCAAAACTCAGGGCATCTGAAGTCTCTGCACCTAATGTACAAAACTTGTTGCATGACAGAAGTGCTCACCACAAATTTTGACTAAGATACATATTTAAATCAATATGTATCTTTGTGCGAGGAGTTTGGAACAATTAAACTTAATGGTTTTTTAGAAAGATGTTCAGCACAGAGTGAATGAGGAGGGAGTGGTGTAACATTGGTCCCATATCTTGTCTATTTGAGTAGTGAGTGTATGTCTTGTCTGATGTCAGTGATATTAGTATGTTATCATATTGCTGTATGTAAGGTACAGTATTGTACTGTCAGGTTATATGTTGTGTGCTGTAGGGTATTGTTTCTTGTTTTGTATTGTATTGTAATGTCTGTCTTGTTTGACTGGGTGAGAAGGTTTGGATGAAAAAAAAAAGCATTTTGCTTCATCCAATCCCTTTTCAAAGCTTCTTCTGTACATGTGCTTTGTGAATATTTGTTAATATGTCTGAAAATCAGGATGACCAAAGTGAAATAGCTTTGACCAAACTTTAGTTTAGGTGCTACAAGTGTACATTAAGAGAATATATATTTTTTAAACACATTTACAGCCCAATTGCATGCGTTTTAGACCTACCTGTGTTGGAGCATTGACTTCATGAGCATCAGCAGACTGACCACAATTGACAGTGTCATGGCGCAGACATAACACACTGTAGAAAGCACAGAGAAGACGACTTCAACAGAAAGTCCATGACCACATTCTGCCTTTGGGGCCTCTGAGCATTATCCTCCCATCTATCCCACTCTATCTGTCACCATTATAGAATATGTCTTCAAATATAGTCTTTTCATTTCTATTCACCTATTCATCATGTCGTGATGATGTACACCTGTGAACTGGTTACCCCCCGCTCTGACTAGAGCGCTGCACCCTTCTCCCGCCTAGGAGCCCCGTCAGCCTTTGTCCTGGATTTACCGCCTCAGTCCTGGACCTCCAGCATAAATCAGATACAGATAACTTTAACTTTGGGTCTCTCTGCCAATGCAGGAGGGTCTAAAGACAGTGATTATATGGTACTTTTATGGACCTTTACAAACATTTACAGACATTGATCATCCCATTACCCTATGGACCAATGCATCCTATGTGTTTTATTATTGCATTTCCTTTGTTGTTTTGATTCAAAACAAATGTTGACAAATAATGTAATATAGGTCTATTCAAAAAACATTGATTTTAATTAAATTTACATATAGTCAACAAGCACTTGCTTGGTGAGTTGGTGAGTCACCAACCCGGTTCAACGGTCAACCACAAGGACCACGAAAAGCGCCAGTCTTTTGTCTCCGACCCTTAGCTCAGCGATTACTGTTTGCGAAAAGGCAGAGACATGCAGTCTACTCGACACATGAGAGCCTAACCCATATAGAAAGTTGCATATAAAACAAATAACAATTTCACATCACATTTTTTATGACTTTTGTATGATTGAAGTGGCACCATTTGCACATCTTTCATATATGGCAAAAAGTATGTTTTGTTGATTGTTGTTTTGGTGTTATTGCATACAGTCTTTATATAATTTGCAGTTTTACAATATAAAATCAGGAACTGAATGTGGACTCTCAAATGTACAGTCAAATAATTAATATTTGTAAATATTACTCAATGAGTTTGAAGGAAACATTGTTTCAGATGAAGACTTATCTGTCATTCATTTCAACTGCAGAAGCCTAAGAGCAAACTTCAATATGTTTTCTGATTATCTAAAAATCACTGTAGAAATGATGACGGAGCATTCTGGAAAACTTAAAGGACAACAAAATATATAATGCATGTGGTGACTATAATATAGATTTATTAAATGCAACCAGACAAACACTTTCTTGACATAATGTATTGTAAAGGACTCTACCCACTTATTACAAGGCCTACTCGAATAACCATTGACTCTGAAACCCTTATCAAATTTGGATCAAAAGAAAGTAATAATAAATATAAAACTTTTAAAAACATTTTAAAAGCATATTAAGAAAGGCAGAAAAAAGATTATAATTCTAAAGCATTATTAGAAAAACCAGAATGATAAAACATGGAAGATATTTTAAAAAGTTATGGAAATGAAGAAACCAAAGTCTACTATACCGAATTTCATACTGAAGGAGGAAAACAATCAAATACTGTAGATGCTAAAGGTCTTATGCAGGGTTTGTATCAAAAAGATTCAGATTCAGATTCATTTTATTAGCCATGTGCAGTATAAAAACTACATTGGAACACATTTGCAAAAAAAAGGTACTCTGTGTGCACCGACAGAATAATAATGTGTATGTATCCAGTCTGTCAGGATTACGCTTCATTAACATGAAAACCATTGATTTGATTGAAGTGAAAACATTGTTGGAGATGTCAGAACTGCTTTTTTGAGGTTGTTATAAAACATTTTTTCTGGGGTAGGACCCTAGAAACCCCTTTACCTCACTCTGACACTCATGTAATTTGTTTTTATGTGTAGGGCGACAGTGGCTCAGTTGGTAGAGCATTACCCTTTGATGCGGCTGTAAATTGCCAAACTGCTGTTGTGTCCTTAGGCAAGACACTTGCCTAGAATGAGTCTGGTGTGTGTGTGTGAATGGTTGGTGGTGGTCGGAGGGGCCGTTGGCACATACTGGTTGCCTCACTTCTGTCAGTGTGCCCCAAGGCAGGTGTGGCTACAGTTTATCACCGTGTGTCGAGTGAAAGATTAATGATATGTGGAGCGTCTTTGAGTGTCCAAAAAAGCCCTATATAAATCTGATGCGTTATATTATGTGTGAGAGCTGCTGACGATAATTGAATTTGTGTCTGTAGTCAGTCCTATTCAAATCAATGGCTTGTGCTCAGTTGTGCATGGAACTTACATGAGGACCAAGAGCAAAATTCGCCTATATTTGGGCATCGTCTGGTCCTTCTGGTTCTGCGCAGTGGACGAGCTCCCATGATGCATTGCGTCAAATACGCGTGTGTGGCTCTCATGTAAGTGCACAGAGGGGCTCGGCCACGCTTTGACCAATCAGAGCTGCTGATCAGAGCAGTGGTAGAGCGGAGCCATAGCGGGAAGGGAACAAGCAGAGTTTGTGGCAGTAAAGTGTGGATTTAAAGAAAACCAAAGGATTTAAGAAGAAACAAAGTTCAGGATGATAAGTGTAGGGTAAATATATAATAGGTATTAGGGTAATAATACATCAGATTATGTTATGAGAAGAATAGTGCGGCTAGTCTTCAAATCAGAGTCTGGCCGTCCTATTCGAGTGGGGGATCTGCTTTATATTTATTTAGGCACCAGCAGTGTATGACACACTGCACAGATCCAAACCAACTTTGCCTCGAGTCAGTCTTATAAATCTAATAGGTAGTGAGTACTTTTATCGGCCAGGGATATTCCGAGATCTAACAACGCGACTCTGAAGGGGTTGAGTTGAAGAAAAGTAGTTTATTGATTACAAAAATGAGGGTAAAAATATAACGAAAAGGGATTTCTGGTCACATTAAAAGCAGGAGTTGTACACATATCATTCAAATCATACATTTAACAAAGGAACAGTCTTACTTTGAAGGAGCGTAGAGGGAAGTGGGTGACTGGGATGAGGATGGAGTGGAGGATGAGAATGAAGAATGGGGTGGAGGCGATGTCGTCCACGTGGTTTCTTTGTCCGGGCAGGCGGGAATTATGAAGCCAGCGACGGCAGTCCAACTTTGGATCCAGGCGTGCACACTCAGTCCGGAATGAGTCACGTGCGCAGAGTCCAGAGCCAGGGCCGGCTGGTGATGAAGAGTTCATAAATCCCAACCAGAAAATAGGTTTGCTTGGCGGAGTAGAAGGCCCGATGCGTGCTGGCGCGACCGTAGTAGGAGACACGTGCCGCGGGACGCCGATGGCCAGGGAGGTTGGAATAGTGATTTCAGGAGAAGGCAAGAGAAAGAACAATGCTTTGCGGGTGCTTATATTGACTTCTGAAGGGGCGTGTCCATGTCTTCCCTCTCTGTGGACAAACTCCTTTACACAGACAGTTTGTAAAGAAACATACAGGATTGATGCAAATGATCATAAGACATGTACAAACACACAGTGTATTTACATCACAGACATTAAACACACGAGTAAGGTCCGTAACGTTAATATCATTGAGTAATGTCCCCTTTGAATGTTCGTCTTGGGTGCGGTAGCGTCCAGTGTCCGCTAGGGAGCGTCAGAGGGCCGCGGGTGGACCCCTTGGTCCGTGGAATGCATTGTGGCAATGCTGATTTGTATCAGCTCCTCTGTTAACATGAAAAAAGGGCACCAGATGGGTATCCCGCTGTTTTTATGGGTCCGATTGGCGTCGGTAATCCTCATGATTGATGGCGGCTTGTGGCTGACCCCATGGCTCCTTTGAAGCTGTATCTCTCCATTTGGTCAATGGTAAACAGAGTGGACAGGCTTGGTCCTGTCCTAAGTTTAACCTTACATACCCCCCCCACGGCAGAGATGCACCTTCCGACAAGGTGCATGTCATGTCGGATATGCTGTGGGGTTGTCCTCAGTCGGTCTTCTCGCCTGTTCGGGTGTTAGTGTACAATTTGTGGTGACATGTTACAACATTCCCGTCTCAATGTGACTCAGCAATTCGCAAGCGCCTAACTGGGGCCAGGCTCGTGGCGGTTGGGTCTCGGGCCTCTGGCTTGGTTTGTCGAGGCCGGGTTTTCTCTAAGGCGAGTCCTGGCCCTGCAGGCTAGTTCTAACCGGGATCAGGGGTTTTAGGGAGTGAGCTCCGGCCGTGAACTCTAAGGTTTGGGCCGGTGCGCCTGACTCCTGGGTCTCTTGGTCTGGAAGACTCAAAGTTCCAAGCCAAGAGAGTAGCAGGAGTTTCTACTTTAGGGGACTAGGATACAAAATAGGAAACTTCAAAAATCAAAAAAAAGGTGGCTGCCTTGGCAGCGGGTAGGAGCGTCGTTAAGGCACTCGATGGTGAGGGGTTCCCATCTTGCTCGTTCTAAAAGGGGAGTGTGAGGGTTACACGAATATATGACGTAGCAAGTGGGGCTTTAATTACGAGGGACATTTCCTGCATATAAATGGGGATGACAGGCATGATTGTCTAGGAGACTGATTAGGTATCGAGGTAGGTTGGTTGGGTCTGAGCTGGTGACTCTTAGTGGTGTTTTAGGCCCTTGGTTCACCTTCCGTGATAGAAAGGGTGACCGCCTCGAGTGGGTGACTTTGGAGGTCCTCGTACTCTGACTCATTGACCTGGGGACGCCGACTCAAATTGCCACGCTCGATGGCGCTGTCGCCCCGGTTTGGTCGTCTACGGATCTGTCTCGTCATTGCCTCCGTGCACCTGTTAAAGCTATCGCGGAGTCGTCTAACCCGTCTATTTAGGACGAAGGCCATGACTACGACCAGGCCGTACCCGAGTCCTACCGCGATGGCCATGACTGTATCGGGGGCGGCCCAGGAGTAGGCTACTGGTTGGTGGTGGATGGTCGGTCGCTTGGCAATCTCTTGAAGGAGGATTGTCTACGACCGTAACGTCAACGGTTTGTGCCCCCTCGTAGGTGGCTTGGACTAGGGTAGAGGGGTTGAAGTTCCAAGGCCCTTTCCTCAAAGAACTCTGGTATCTCGACCTCTGCCTCGTACTGGTTCGGATACAGGTGGTATAATGCCAGGTCGCCTACGTGCAGGATAGCGTCGGCTGGGACGTCGACCCAAAAGGTTTCGTCCGGGAGGCTTACTCGGGACGAGGTGTCGTGTTTGTCATAGGTCAGGGTCGCCGTTCTAAGGGGAGTGTTCACTAGCCAGCGTGCCCCTACAATCTCTGCTCTAGTTTCGGTTATTTGTTTCCGAGAGGTGACCGTCGCGGGGCATCGACTCCCTGGAGTCATGGGCCTCAGGCCGCAGATGCCATCGGTGCTGTCCCTGACGAAAGGTTTGCTGGGGCAGAGGTAATGGATGTCCTTGGTGAGGGTACACATCCTTAGGTTTGGCGTTAGGTATAAATTGGGGTTACTGTCGTGGTAGGCTACTATGTCTGGGGTCTGGACTCTGACGTGGGCATTGTCCCTCCAAGTCCCTAGGTTAGTGATCCCTTTTAGTCGGTAGATTTTGTCGCCGGGAACTATCGGTAGGGTGACTAGAAAGGCTACCTCGCGGTCCAGAGGATTAACATAGATGGGGACTGCAGCGCCCAGCGTGTACGCTAAGTGGGCTTGCATGGGGGTTACGGCGTCCCGTGTGGCTACGGCTAGAATGTTCTCAACTAACGATAGCGGCACGAGGTATGGCGGGATACGGCCCATGGCTAGGTTTTCGATCGAGGAACTGAGGTGACGTAGCATGTCCTCCATCAGTTGGGTGGTCAGCTGAGTATGGGCGTAGTCTAGTTGGAGGACGTATAAGAGTTGGTTGACCGCAGCGGAGGTGCGTTTAATCGCAACCTCGTGTGTGTTAAGTACTAGCATGGTTCCTTTTAGGGATTTTCCCAAGGTTACCACGTCGTTCTGTTGTTGGTCAAGTCTGGTTTTGACATCCTCGAGCTCAGAGGCCATTTCTTGTTGGTGGCGTCTGAGGGAGGATAGGCTGATGGCGTTTACCGTGGACATCCCTAAACTAAAGAGGGTGCCCAGGGCGGACGCCGCGCCGAGGAGAGCCCCAATAAATCGTTTGGGTCTGGGGCGAGGGTCACTGAGCTCTGTCCTAGTGATCGTGAACTTCTCTAGTTGCGTCAGCATGTGTTGTATGTCTGCCTCAGCATGCTCCACGACCGTCTGGGTCCAGCGTGCACCTGCCCAATCTTTGAGTGTGACCTTCAAGGGCAGGTTCTTGCGGCAGACTTCACTAGGATTGAGTCTGACAAAGATTCGCTGTGTGTGGAGTCGGACGTCCGTGATGAGGAGCCCGGGTTGTTCCTTTAAAACGATCCCGGAGGCTGGTCCGGTCTCAATAATTTCTGGGGTGCCGAGACCCAGTATGCAGGTCAGCACGAGAAGGAAAGTGGGCCACATGTTCTGCAAGGCGTGAAACAACTGTTAGGGGTTAGACAAAGACAGAGAAAGAGAAAGTCGATTAGTGCAGCGCGAGAGAGTGTTGGTGAGTGCTGGGCTAATCGTGTTTGAGGTCACGTGGTGTGTTCCTAACTGGGGTTTGTGGTGGCTCTGCTTGTCCCATGGGGCTTTGTTTGTGTGGTTTGGTTTGGCTGTAACGGGCCCATCTGAGGGTGGGCTCTCTACCTTTTGTGACCTCGATTTGGTGCACTGCGGTTGAGAGTTTGTTTCCCACCCTGTATGGTCTTGACCAGCGGGGTCGCGGTTTCCGGCGTAGTCTGGTGGGGCCGGTTCCCACGTGTCCTGGGGAATGTGCCAAGGTGTAATACCATACCTGGTTTTTGACCTGGAGGTGGTCCTGCGGGTCGGTCCTGTATTGGTTTGTCCTCAGGAGCCGGGGGAGTTTCACATTCTCGTCACTCCGGTTTGGGGATACGTACCTTGGTGTTTCGGTCACCGTCCGGTCCGTCGTTTCTACCTGTTGTAGTGCCTGACGTGTGTTGTTTATACCTGTTTGTTTCGCGGTAGGTGCGTCATGGGCGTGTGCCAACATTACCCCCCTCATGCTTCGAGGCACCACGAGTACCGACGAAGTGAGTGTATCGGAAGCAGAATCTAACAGCCCATGGCGTATCGGCAGTATTTCTTCATCACGGCCGGGGGTTCCGAGCGTCGTGTCGATCATGACGTCGAAGGGGCGTTCCAGTGTGGGGTCTGCATGTCGGGGGGAGGCTAAGTCCGACCTGTCGAGGTCGGGGGCCGTGCGCGTGGCGTTCGCGCCGGTTGTGGGCGTCCCCTGATCGGTTTCAGGTTGTGCCGCGGCGGGCTGTGGGCCGTTCGTGGGCGGCGCGTCTATGGAGTAGCGGTGGTTTTCGCCCAACGGGCGTGGGATGGGCAAGGGCTCCCGGACCTGTGTCCAGATCTTTAGACGTTGGTAGTCTATTAGGGGCTTAAACCGATTTAGAAGGTCCTGGCCCAATAGGAGCGGATGCGTGTTGAATGGGGAGATGTAGACCGGGTGGACCAGTGTCATGGGGCCCACGGTCAGTCGCATTAGAGCCATTTTACGTATGGTCGTATCCACCTGGGAATAGGGTGTTATTCCTAAGTCGCATGGCTGCGTTTTTAGGTGTCTGTGGGATTTACTGGCCATAGACTGTAACTTACCGAAGAGGTCTTCGCCAATCAGGCTGATATCGGCAGCTGTGTCCACGAGCGCCTCGTGTTCCCATTGGTCTTCGAGTATTACGGGCAGGTAGAGTTTCCCGTAGGTACCTCTTTGTTGTAGGTCGCCCATGAATTGGTGGAACGGTGGTTCGCAGATGGTTGTCGAGGGGCCGTCCTCTCGTGGGTCTGTGATGGAGTTTACCTGTATTACCATGACATCCCTCTGGTCGTAGCAGGTGTCCACCGTTGGTGCGTTTGAGTAGTCGTCATTTAGCTCCTGTCCGCCGAGGCCGTCGTCCATGTGGTAGGGAGCGTTCTCGGCGTCATCCGACACGGACACTGCGAACACGTCGGCGTTGTCTGGCTTCTCTCTGGCTTTGCGCAGGAGCGTGCGGAGGAGGGATTGTTCCTCCCTAGAAAGGTTGTCCTTATTAATGGTTGTGGCAGTGCGGTCTTGGTGGGACCGTTGTGGCGCGCGGTCTTTCCCGTCGGCCTGGCCGGCGCGTCTCTCGCCGTATTGCGGGAGGTGCTGGTCGCGTGGCTGTCCGTTCTTCGGGTCCGTGTGTTTGTGGTTATTCCTCTGGGGTCCGTGGTCGGTTCCCCATTTGTGTTTCCGGGCCGTTGGTGCGCCTTCCAGTTCCATGTGGTTTTCCACGCTGTACACTGTAGGTTGGGTGTGCGGCTTCGCCTGTGTCTTGAGCAGATGTTTGCCTTGTGCTCGTGCCACCAGGGTCTTCAGTTGCCGTATGTCCTGTGTAAGGGGGCAGGCGTACACGCCTAGTAGCTGGCTAAGGTTGGGGTGGAGGTTTTGGAGGTACAGGGCCCTGAAATTCGTGTCTTCCTCCATCCCTTCGTAGTTTCGGTTGCCGAAGAAGGCCTGTCGCAATCTGTGGTAGTAGCATTCCGCAAGCTCGTTGTGAGCTTGTTTGACTGCCATGGCTGCCGTGAGGGTCCCGGAGGCGCCGTAGTCTGAGTATTCTGCTAGGATGGCTTTGCAGAGCTCGTTGTAGTCGTGTTTTATAGCCTTTGGTTGCCTTTCGATGAAGTCATTCACCTCACCATTGGACGTGAGTCTAATCAAGAATATTTTGTCATCTTGGGATGCGTGTGGTATGCGGTCGGCGTGGAATTCGACGACGCGGAGGTATGACCGAGTGTTTGTAGGTATGCCGGGCCGGGGGTCAAAGCGGGTTATGTGTCTAGCTATGCGGTCGAAGTCGCGGTCGGATGGTCCGAGCGGGTCTCGACCTATCGGGGGCGCGTAGCGGGCGTCGCGTCCTCTATAGTCCGGGTAGTGTCGTTGCCCTGGGGTCAAGTCCTGGCGTGTGTCCGGGGGGGTGCTGTTGGGTTGTCCTCCATGATTGGGGAGGTCCCCGGCGTTCCCATGGCGGATCACTGGCCGTTGTGCCGCAGCATATGCGGGCGGCCCAGGCTCAGGGTACCGTATGTCGTGTGGTCCATGTAGCATGTACTGATGTGGGCCAGGGGGGTCGTTGTAGGGTTGTCCGCCATGTTCAGGGCGGGCCCTTTCGTCCCAATGGCGGTAGTCTGAAACATGTCTCGTATGGACGTTAGGTGGGTCAGAGTCATGGGTCGGGTAGTCATGTTGGCTGCGTCGCATGTCCATGTGTGTTCCCGGAGGGGCGGCGTGGGAGTCCCGTCCCTGGTTGAGGTGGTCTCCACCGTCCCAATGGCGGGCTGTTGGCCGTTGTTCGTCGCGGTCCATGGTCAGTCCGTGTGTATGGGTCTGGTGGCCATGCGTTTCGTGTTTAACGTGCCGGTGTGCTGCGGCGGGTCCGGCCGGGGGTTGTCTCTCATAGGCGGAGGGGTCCCCGGGGACCCGTGAGCGGTCTGTCACGTGGTACGTCGCCTGGCTCGTCGGTGGGTCGAGTCTGGGGTCAAAGTGGTCGATGTGTCTAACGTAGTATTGAGGGTTGGCTGCAGTTGCGGGCGGTCCCGTTGTATGGTGGTGGTTGCGCGCAACGCGATCGGGTTCGTCATCGACGGACCGTTGGGACCTGTTCCGATTGTTACTGTTGGGTGGTGTATCGTGTCTTTGACCTTGGTTCTGGTCTTTTCCCGTGATGATACTTACCAGTTCGGCCACGCTCCTGCGTTCACTCTCGGACGATGGTCGCCACGGTCGGAGTGAGGGGAGTGTGCGCCGGAGGCACTATCTCGGCCGGTTCCGTTCGAAATAGCGGCCCTGATTCTCGCTGCGCGATCTAGATCCATGGTCGCGCTTGGAATCGTGTTAAGTCCCGGTTGGTGGTTCCCACTTACCTGTTGGGTTGGTTCCAAGCGGCTCGCGGCGGACCTCTTAGCTTCCGCTAGTTGCCGTTCCAGTTCACCTACCGTGTCTTGAAGCCTTTGGTTCTGGGCTTCGGAGTCGCGTAAGGTTATTCTGGAGACCGTGGCTAGCTGTCCCAGCCACTGGGTCAGGGTCTTACCTTCTAGTTTCTTCGTAATAGCCTCGGATGCCAATGTGGAGGTGGCATCTAGTAAGTCAGAGGGTGAGCCGTGCTCAAGCATGTCGTAGGTTCCTGGGGATAACTTCTCTGTGAAGTCGCGCAGAAAGTTATCCACTACGTCGTGTTTCCTCCACGACACTGTTGTGCTCGCTCGGTCGTGGCGAGTTTCCGCCATCGGTCTCCATATTTGTGTGGGTGAGTGTATGCGAGTATGACTTGGAACGTGTGTGCATGGCACAGTGGGAGGGGGAAAGGAGGAAAGCGGTGTTATAGAGAGGGTAGCACAGCTGTTCGTGTGGTGGTGCAAACCTTGGTGTGTGTCAAAGTCGTGACTACAGCGTCCTCTCCGTGTGGCGGTGTATGCGAGTGGGCGGCCTAGGACAGGGGCCGGCGTTAGTGCGTCTTCACCTGTGTGTCAGCGGAGAGCGTTGGGGTTAGTGGCGTCGGCGCACGTAGGGGGACGCGGCGTTAGAGACGCAGCGTGACGGACGCGGCGTAAGACGCAACGTGACGGACGCGGCGTAAGACGCAGCGTGACGGACGCGGCTTAAGACGTAGCGTGACGGACGCGGCTTAAGACGCAGCGTGACGGGCGCGGGCTTAAGACGCAGCGTGATGGCCGCGGCTTAAGACGCAGCGCGATGGGCGCGGCTTAAGGCGCAGCGCGATGGGCGCGGCTTAAGACGCAGCGTGATGGGCGCGGCTCAAGACGCAGCGCGGTAGGCGCGGCTCAAGACGCAGCGCGATGGGCGCGGCTTTAGAGACGCAGCGTAAGACGCAACGTGACGGACGCGGCTTAAGACGCAGCGTGATGGGCGCGGCTTAAGACGCAGCGTGATGGGCGCGGCTTAAGACGCAGCGCGATGGGCGCGGCTTAAGACGCAGCGTTAGGGACGCAGCGTGACGGACGCGGCGTAAGACGCAACGTGACGGACGCGGCTTAAGACGCAGCGCGATGGGCGCGGCTTAAGACGCAGCGCGATGGGCGCGGCTTAAGACGCAGCGTTAGAGACGCAGCGTGACGGACGCGGCGTAAGACGCAACGTGACGGACGCGGCTTAAGACGCAGCGTGATGGGCGCGGCTTAAGACGCAGCGCGATGGGCGCGGCTTAAGACGCAGCGTGATGGGCGCAGCTTAAGACGCAGCGCGATGGGCGCGGCTTAAGACGCGGCTTTAGAGACGCAGCGTAAGACGCAACGTGACGGACGCGGCTTAAGACGCAGCGTGATGGGCGCGGCTTAAGACGCAGCGCGATGGGCGCGGCTTAAGACGCAGCGTTAGAGACGCAGCGTGACGGACGCGGCGTAAGACGCAACGTGACGGACGCGGCTTAAGACGCAGCGTGATGGGCGCGGCTTAAGACGCAGCGCGATGGGCGCGGCTTAAGACGCAGCGTGATGGGCGCGGCTTTAAGACGCAGCGCGATGGGCGCGGCTTAAGACGCGGCTTAAGACGCAGCGTGATGGGCGCGGCTTAAGACGCAGCGCGATGGGCGCGGCTTAAGACGCAGCGTTAGAGGCGCAGCGTGACGGGCGCGGCGTAAGACGCAACGTGACGGACGCGGCGTAAGACGCAGCGTGATGGGCGCGGCTTAAGACGCAGCGCGATGGGCGCGGCTTAAGACGCAGCGCGATGGGCGCGGCTTAAGACGCAGCGCGATGGGCGCGGCTTAAGACGCAGCGCGATGGGCGCGGCTTAAGACGCAGCGCGATGGGCGCGGCTTAAGACGCGGCTTAAGACGCAGCGTTAGAGACGCAGCGTTAGAGACGCAGCGTGACGGACGCGGCGTAAGACGCAACGTGACGGACGCGGCGTAAGACGCAGCGCGATGGGCGCGGCTTAAGACGCAGCGCGATGGGCGCGGCTTAAGACGCAGCGCGATGGGCGCGGCTTAAGACGCAGCGTTAGAGACGCAGCGTTTAGAGGCGCGTTTGTGACGCACCTGCGTTTGTGACGCACCTGCGTTTGTGACGCACCTGCGTTCGTGGCGCGGCGTAGCTTTAGACGCAGCTCCAGTAAAGCAGTAGCAAAAAGGCAGCAGGCTGAGGCAAGGTAATGCAGTTTTAGCGACAGTGAGGGTTAGAAATAGAGTATTAGTTTTGATGTAGTACAATCAAACATAGAGTTTGGCATAGTAGAGTGTTAGTTTCACCACTAGGTGGGAGTGCAGTATCTGTCAGATCACACGCCAATGTGGTTCAACAATAACGCGCATCATGCAGGAGCAGGAGTACAGAATAGGATTAGTTACCACAGCAATGTGTTATTATCAGTGGCAAGGATGGGGGGCGGGGTGGTGCGGTGTGTGGGGCAGTGGCAGTGTTTGTTAAATCACCACACAGATGTGTTACTGTAAACTAGCAGTAGTGAGTGAGCAGGAATAAAGCATAGAATGCGTATACACCAGCGACATGCAGCAGAAGGAGAGCAGAGTTTACAGCATTAACCTTGGCTAATGCAGCAATGTAGCTTAACAATTATGTTTAAGAGGAGAAGCAGAAACAGAGCGTTAGCTTTTGTTATGTATAGCAGTAATGTGTTCTAATAAAAACAATATGACATGCAGAAGGGGGCGGAATTAAAATGATTCGTTTCAGTGTAGTACAATCAAACCATAGAGTGGTTATTAGTTTGAGCAATCAAAACAGCTTGGGAATCAACAGATAGACCGTGTTAATGTTTCCCCATTGGGCTAGCAAGTGTGGTCTAGGCGTTGGCATGCCAGAAGAAAGGTGGAAGGATTAAAATTAATTAGTTTTTAAGCTTTAGATGCATAGGAGGGGCAGGATATTAGCGTATTACGTTTAATTACAATCAACCTCTAAAATGTTTGGAAGTTTTAGACGATTTTAGTTGGAACAAGATAACAGCAAGGCGCACACACAAGCACACCAAACAGTTGTTACAGTTACATACCACAAGCCATTCACTTGATCATGAGACGTGGTGCGTGCGGTCAAAAGATCAAGGACAGCGCTGCAATGTGGTCCCGAAGTAGCTGCGGGGAAAAAGGAAAGCCATTTTTGTGTTTAGACATTAAGGCGGTGCGGCCGTTTAGCAGTATGCCGAGACAGGAGTTAACTAAAGGGGAATGGAGTAATCATGATCGTAAATCACAGAATCGAGGAGGATAGGATAGTACGAAGTATAGTAAGTAGTGCTTTTGTTAGATAAAAGGTAGACAATTGCAGCAGAATGTATTAGACGTTGGAGGATTGCGGCTCTGGCTTTACGCGCGCCAGGGCCCGGAAGTTAGGCCGACCCATATGCTAAACAAAGGAGGTTTGCTTGCATTTGCTTTTCGATGAGCGGCGGTTTTAGCCAGTAGTTTATTAACAAAGATAAGTCCTGGGAAGCGGAGTTATACGGTTCGGCACCAAGCACGTATTTGCAGTGGTGGAAATGGGTTTGTATGAAGTAAGTAGGGTTGAAGGTGTGTGTATACAACTAGCAGGTTAGGATGGGGCATGGACAGAGAGAGTGGTGTGGTACAGAGTTAGCGTTAGCCGCCTTTAGCAAACGATAGAATCACATTCAAACAGCTGCCATTTACGCCCGATTATATACAGATCTACTCGGTTATAAATCTGTGAGACTTGGGTCACAAAGGGTCACCCTAGATTCCGTTACGCCACAGTGTTATGGACCACGGTGTACAGCTGGCATGTTATAAGAATCACGTTTGTTCGCTGTTCTCTTCAGACGGGATAGCCGACTTCAAATTCCACGCTGGCAGCTGGCCAGCAGGTGCGAAACGTAAGCAGCGAGATGCTTCTCATAAGTCCTGCCGCTAAAAAGCCAGGATTTTTTCGGAGGACTAATTATTAGTCTGGAGCATGCACGCAGATACGTTTATCGCTAAGCGTGGGTGCGTCGTGGGGTCTCGATTGCACGTTGTGTAGTCCCTATAGCAACGGGAGGGGTAACGCAGGACAGAACGGGGGTGCGCGGGAGTGGGGGGAAGTCTCCTAGACTTCAATTTAGTGTCGGGTCAGCTAGCTGTCTTAGTTAGGTATATTAACCGGTCACTTCCACAGGATTACAGGTCTCGAAAATCTGGTCTAGTCTATTCGCGGGATCTCACAAACACGAGGTTACAAATACTGTAGGGTAATAATATATATATAGGTTGGGTAATAATACTCCAGATTATGTTTGAGAAGACTAGTGCCGGCCTTCCACCCCATACCTCAAGCCTCACTCACACCAAGATCTTCCAAGAATACAGAGTATGCGAATACGTCCGGATGCGATCGGCCTGGGATCAGCTTGTATATTTTTTAGGCCACCAGCAGTGTACTGTCCACCCACTGCAACAGATCCAAAATCCAACTTTGCCTCGAGTCAGTTCTTTTATATCAATAGGTCGTTAGTATATTAATCGGCCAGGGATCTTCCATGAGAATCTAACAACGCGACTTCTGAAGGTGTGAGTAGATGAAAAGTTGTTTAGTGCATTCAAAAATATGAGGGTAAATAATCTAACTCGAAAAATGGGATTTTGGTCCACATTAATAGAGGTGTATGTGTACACGCATATCTATTCAAATCCCATACAATCTCTAAACAAAGGTACATGTCCTTACCTTTGAAGTGAGTCAGAGGATGTGTGCGTGACTGGGTTGAGGATGGAGTGGAGGTTGCGGAATGAGATGGGGTGGAGGGAAGATGTCGTCCCGTGGTTTCTTTTGTCGGGCAGGCGGGGAATTTGGAGCCAGCGACGGAGTCCCCACCCCTTTGGATCAGGCGTGCACACTCAGTCCGGAATGGAGTCACTGTGGCGCAGACAAGAGCTACAGAGCAGGCCGGTGGTGATGAATGAGTTCCATAATCCCAACCAGAAAATAGGTTACAAACGAAACGCCAAGCACCGGGAAAGAAGCGCCAACCAAGCACACACAAGCCAGCCCAACGGAAGGGCCGCCAGGAACGAGCCACACACCCACGCAGGAGAAAAAAGTCACAACGACACAAGCCACAAAACAGAGCAAACCCCAAACACAGCCCAGAGCGGCAGCAAGGAGCACCAAAGCACGACGAGCAACCAACCACCCAAGCCACCCAACAAGAACGGACACACAGGCACACACATAACGCGACCCACAGACAGAAACCCCAACCACCATCGAAGGCACAAAAAAACCGGCAACCGCGCACGGCAGGGCCGCACGCGTCCAAAAACCAGACCGGCATAAAAGCAGGCCAAAAACGCGAGCAACCCCAAAGCGACCCAGAAATGCCGAAGACAACGGAAGCAAGCGCCCAACGAACCGCGGAAAGCGCACAGACGATACCAGAAAAGCCACACCAAAAGGGCAAGACAGCGACGCAACACAGCACGGAGCCTGCAACAAAAGCAAAACACGCCGCACAGCGCACAAGCACCAACAGGAAACCAGACCACAGAACCCACAAGCGCTAGGAACAACAGACGGGAACCCACCAGGGGACACACACGCAACCCGAGAAACCAGCGCCCCACCCCCCGTGAGAATAACAGACGACGAGGAGAACCACACCGCGGGGAAAAGAGAGCCCAACGGTAACGACACACACCGCGCCAGACAACGCGCGTCACCCGCAAAAGGGCACAAACCCCGCGACCACCACAAACGAAAAAGACCACAGAACCGGCAGCCACGCAGACCAAGAAACCACACAAACCAAAAACGCCACGAAAACGAAGGACAACCACCCGCAAGTCCGCGCACCCCACGACCCCCCCACGGACCAACACGCCACAAGGCAAGAAACAAAAGGCACGCCAACCACCAAGAACAGGCGAACGACCAGGCAGAAAAAACAAGAACGGACGGCCAAAGAAAAGCAAAAAAGGAAAGCACAGACAAAGAGCAAAAGGACGCCACCAGGCACGCCGAACAAAAAAGACACCAAACAGACGCACCTGAAAAAGAACGACAGACCCCACAAGAAACGAAAGACAAAGCCGAAAAAGCAGAGAAACCAGGCAAGGGAAAGAAAAAGACCAAAACACATCCGTAACGCCCCCGAAACTAGACAAAACGGAAAAAACAACAACCGGAGGAGGACAACAAGGCGCCACGACGAAAGGAAGCGGACCACAACCGCACAAAGCAACAGCCAAAAACCCAGAGAAAGAAAAGGGACAGGCCAAAAGGGCCGCCCACGCACCCAAACAACCAGGGACAAAAGTCCCGACCAAACCGAGAAAAGCCACAGACGCAGGGCGGAAGTGCCAGACAAAGACAGAGCAAAACCCACAGTAAAACTGACACAGACCCCCGGACACAAAAGTAGAGACAAAACAAAAACCAGCAGGCAACCAAACGCCAAAAGACACCACCCAAAACAGAACCCCAAGACCCCCGGGCGCCGGGGCCCCAAGAAGGAGCAGAAAAGGCCAAAAGAGAGAGCAAGACAAACGAGACCAAAAAACAGAACCACGCCCGACAAAACGAAGAAAAGAAGCACCGCACACCCCAAACAACAAGAGCCCACCGAATCGAGCAAAACGAATGCACCGCAACAAAAAAGACAAAAGCCCAACCCCCCGCAAGAGCCAGGAACGACGGGACGCCAAGGCAAGGCCCCCCACACGACACGAGCAAGCCTACCCAACAAGCAAAGCAGCAAAACAAAAAAAGAAGGGGAAAGGCACCGGAAAGCAAGACGAGGCGCGCACAAAGCAGCCAAGCACGGAGCAGACAACCCCAAAACACCCACAACACCACCACCCCCCGAAAAACACCCCCAGATGAAAAACAGCAGCAAGCAAACGGACAAAAACCGCAAAAGACAATGGGAGGGCGCGACACAAAAAAAAGACAAAGGCAGGCAAGAGAAAGAAACCACGGCCCAACCACGACCCACAAGGCACGACCGCACCGCCGCGCGACACCAACACGAAAAGCCGACGCCAAAACAAACCAGACGACCGCCACACGAACAAGCAGAAAGCGCGCACGAAACAGACAAGGGAAAACAAGAGCAGCGACACGCGAAAACACGAGAAAAACCGCCAACGGTACCCACGAAAAAAAAGCGGGCGACGACGAAACAACAAAACACAATCCCAACCCGCGAAAGCAACACCAACAACCAAAGAAAACGCACGGAACGACAACGGACGCACAGCCGGCCGAAACACCACAACAGGTCCAGAACAAGACACCAACACCCACAACACAACAGGGGAAAGATCTTCCTCCATCCCTTCGTAGTTTCGGTTGCCGAAGAAGGCCTGTCGCAATCTGTGGTAGTAGCATTCCGCAAGCTCGTTGTGAGCTTGTTTGACTGCCATGGCTGCCGTGAGGGTCCCGGAGGCGCCGTAGTCTGAGTATTCTGCTAGGATGGCTTTGCAGAGCTCGTTGTAGTCGTGTTTTATAGCCTTTGGTTGCCTTTCGATGAAGTCATTCACCTCACCATTGGACGTGAGTCTAATCAAGAATATTTTGTCATCTTGGGATGCGTGTGGTATGCGGTCGGCGTGGAATTCGACGACGCGGAGGTATGACCGAGTGTTTGTAGGTATGCCGGGCCGGGGGTCAAAGCGGGTTATGTGTCTAGCTATGCGGTCGAAGTCGCGGTCGGATGGTCCGAGCGGGTCTCGACCTATCGGGGGCGCGTAGCGGGCGTCGCGTCCTCTATAGTCCGGGTAGTGTCGTTGCCCTGGGGTCAAGTCCTGGCGTGTGTCCGGGGGGTGCTGTTGGGTTGTCCTCCATGATTGGGGAGGTCCCCGGCGTTCCCATGGCGGATCACTGGCCGTTGTGCCGCAGCATATGCGGGCGGCCCAGGCCCAGGGTACCGTATGTCGTGTGGTCCATGTAGCATGTACTGATGTGGGCCAGGGGGGTCGTTGTAGGGTTGTCCGCCATGTTCAGGGCGGGCCCTTTCGTCCCAATGGCGGTAGTCTGAAACATGTCTCGTATGGACGTTAGGTGGGTCAGAGTCATGGGTCGGGTAGTCATGTTGGCTGCGTCGCATGTCCATGTGTGTTCCCGGAGGGGCGGCGTGGGAGTCCCGTCCCTGGTTGAGGTGGTCTCCACCGTCCCAATGGCGGGCTGTTGGCCGTTGTTCGTCGCGGTCCATGGTCAGTCCGTGTGTATGGGTCTGGTGGCCATGCGTTTCGTGTTTAACGTGCCGGTGTGGGCGTTAGTGCGTCTTCACCTGTGTGTCAGCGGAGAGCGTTGGGGTTAGTGGCGTCGGCGCACGTAGGGTGACGCGGCGTTAGAGACGCAGCGTGACGGACGCGGCGTAAGACGCAACGTGACGGACGCGGCGTAAGACGCAGCGTGACGGACGCGGCTTAAGACGTAGCGTGACGGACGCGGCTTAAGACGCAGCGTGACGGGCGCGGCTTAAGACGCAGCGTGATGGCCGCGGCTTAAGACGCAGCGCGATGGGCGCGGCTTAAGGCGCAGCGCGATGGGCGCGGCTTAAGACGCGGCTTAAGACGCAGCGTTAGAGACGCAGCGTGACGGACGCGGCGTAAGACGCAACGTGACGGACGCGGCTTAAGACGCAGCGTGATGGGCGCGGCTTAAGACGCAGCGCGATGGGCGCGGCTTAAGACGCAGCGTTAGGGACGCAGCGTGACGGACGCGGCGTAAGACGCAACGTGACGGACGCGGCTTAAGACGCAGCGCAATGGGCGCGGCTTAAGACGCAGCGCGATGGGCGCGGCTTAAGACGCAGCGTTAGAGACGCAGCGTGACGGACGCGGCGTAAGACGCAACGTGACGGACGCGGCTTAAGACGCACGTGACGGGTGCCGGTGATGGGCGCGGCTTAAGACGCAGCGCGATGGGCGCGGCTTAAGACGCAGCGCGATGGGCGCGGCTTAAGACGCAGCGCGATGGGCGCGGCTTAAGACGCGGCTTTAGAGACGCAGCGTAAGACGCAACGTGACGGACGCGGCTTAAGACGCAGCGTGATGGGCGCGGCTTAAGACGCAGCGCGATGGGCGCGGCTTAAGACGCAGCGTTAGAGACGCAGCGTGACGGACGCGGCGTAAGACGCAACGTGACGGACGCGGCTTAAGACGCAGCGTGATGGGCGCGGCTTAAGACGCAGCGCGATGGGCGCGGCTTAAGACGCAGCGTGATGGGCGCGGCTTTAAGACGCAGCGCGATGGGCGCGGCTTAAGACGCGGCTTAAGACGCAGCGTGATGGGCGCGGCTTAAGACGCAGCGCGATGGGCGCGGCTTAAGACGCGGCTTAAGACGCAGCGTTAGAGACGCAGCGTGACGGGCGCGGCGTAAGACGCAACGTGACGGACGCGGCGTAAGACGCAGCGTGATGGGCGCGGCTTAAGACGCAGCGCGATGGGCGCGGCTTAAGACGCAGCGCGATGGGCGCGGCTTAAGACGCAGCGCGATGGGCGCGGCTTAAGACGCAGCGCGATGGGCGCGGCTTAAGACGCGGCTTAAGACGCAGCGTTAGAGACGCAGCGTTAGAGACGCAGCGTGACGGACGCGGCGTAAGACGCAACGTGACGGACGCGGCGTAAGACGCAGCGTGATGGGCGCGGCTTAAGACGCAGCGCGATGGGCGCGGCTTAAGACGCAGCGCGATGGGCGCGGCTTAAGACGCAGCGTTAGAGACGCAGTGTTAGAGGCGCGTTTGTGACGCACCTGCGTTTGTGACGCACCTGCGTTTGTGACGCACCTGCGTTCGTGGCGCGGCGTAGCTTTAGACGCAGCTCCAGTAAGCAGTAGCAAAAAGGCAGCAGGCTGAGGCAAGGTAATGCAGTTTTAGCGACAGTGAGGGTTAGAAATAGAGTATTAGTTTTGATGTAGTACAATCAAACATAGAGTTTGGCATAGTAGAGTGTTAGTTTCACCACTAGGTGGGAGTGCAGTATCTGTCAGATCACACGCCGATGTGGTTCAACAATAACGCGCATCATGCAGGAGCAGGAGTACAGAATAGGATTAGTTACCACAGCAATGTGTTATTATCAGTGGCAAGGAGGGGGCGGGGGTGTGTGGGAGTGCAGTGTTTGTTAAATCACCACACAGATGTGTTACTGTAAACTAGCAGTAGTGAGTGAGCAGGAATAAAGCATAGAATGCGTATCACCAGCGACATGCAGCAGAAGGAGAGCAGAGTTTACAGCATTAACCTTGGCTAATGCAGCAATGTAGCTTAACAATTATGTTTAAGAGGAGAAGCAGAAACAGAGCGTTAGCTTTTGTTATGTATAGCAGTAATGTGTTCTAATAAAACAATATGACATGCAGAAGGGGGCGGAATTAAAATGATTCGTTTCAGTGTAGTACAATCAAACATAGAGTGGTTATTAGTTTGAGCAATCAAAACAGCATGGAACAACAGCTAGACCGTGTTAATGTTACCACCATGGGCAGCAGTGTGGTCTAGGCGTGGCATGCAGAAGAAGGGGCAGGATTAAAATTATTAGTTTTAGTTTAGTGCAAGGAGGGGCGGAATTAGCGTATTAGTTTATTACAATCAAACATCAAGTTTGGCAAAGTAGAGATTTTAGTTGGAACAGAAACAGCAAGGGACAACAGCCAAAACAGTGTTAACGTTACAACCACAGCCAATCACTTGATCATGAGACGTGGTGCGGGGTAAAAGTCAAGACAGCAGCAATGTGGTCCCGGAAGTAGTGCCGGGACCGGAAAGCAATTTTGTGTTTAGACAATAAGAGGTGCGGCCCGTTTAGCAGTATGCCGAGACGGCTGGCGCCTTATGATCGTCAGAACACAGAATCAGAGTGGGATAGGATAGTACGAAGTATAGTAAGTAGTGTTATTGTTAGATAACAGGTAGACAATGCAGCAGAATGGTATTAGCAGTGGGGATGCGGCTCTGGCTTTTAGCGCGCCAGGGCCGGAAGTTAGCCGTATGCTAAAACAAAGGAGCGTAGCTAGCATTTAGCTTCCGAGCGCGGAGGTTTTAGCAGTAGTTTATACAACGAAAGTCTGGAGCGAGTTATACGGTTCGCACAAGCACGTATTTGCAGTGGTGGAATGGGGTTTGTATGTATGTACTGTAGGGTGCTGGTGTGTGTATACAACAGCAGGTTAGCAGGCAGAGAGAGTGGTGAGACAGAGTTAGCGTTAGCCGCCTTTAGCAAAACGATAGCATCACATTCAAACAGCTGCCATTTACAGCCTTTTACACAGATATACTCGGTTAAAATCCTGTGTGACTTGGGTCACAAAGGGACACAATAGATCCGTACGCCCGTGTTCTGGACACGGTGTACAGTGGAGTTATAAGAATACGTTTGTGCGCTTTCTCTTCAGAGGGAAGCGACTTCACATTCCACGCTGCCCGCTGGCCAAGCGGGCGACACGTTGCAGGAGATGCGTAGTACCTGCGCAAAAGCCAGGATTTTTGAGACTAAATTAATAGTCTGGTGCATGCACGAGACGCTTTTATCGCAAGCGTGGGGCGTAGGGGGGCTCGATTGCCGTTGAAGTCACTATAGCAACGGGGGTAGCAGGGACAGAGGGGGTGCGGGAGTGGGGGGAAGCGCTGTGAGCGGAGCAGCAGTCTAAGTTAGCGTATATTAACCGGTCAATTCACAGAGTACAGGTCGATAAATCTGGTCTATATTCGCGGATCTCACAAACAGGGTACAAATACTGTAGGGTAATAATTATATATAGTAGGGTAATAATACTCCAGATTATGTTATGAGAAGAATAGTGCGGCTAGTCTTCAAATCAGAGTCTGGCCGTCCTATTCGAGCGGGGGATCTGCTTTATATTTATTTAGGCACCAGCAGTGTATGACACACTGCACAGATCCAAACCAACTTTGCCTCGAGTCAGTCTTATAAATCTAATAGGTAGTGAGTACTTTTATCGGCCAGGGATATTCCGAGATCTAACAACGCGACTCTGAAGGGGTTGAGTTGAAGAAAAGTAGTTTATTGATTACAAAATTGAGGGTAAAAATATAACGAAAAGGGATTTCTGGTCACATTAAAAGCAGGAGTTGTACACATATCATTCAAATCATACATTTAACAAAGGAACAGTCTTACTTTGAAGGAGCGTAGAGGGAAGTGGGTGACTGGGATGAGGATGGAGTGGAGGATGAGAATGAAGAATGGGGTGGAGGCGATGTCGTCCACGTGGTTTCTTTGTCCGGGCAGGCGGGAATTATGAAGCCAGCGACGGCAGTCCAACTTTGGATCCAGGCGTGCACACTCAGTCCGGAATGAGTCACGTGCGCAGAGTCCAGAGCCAGGGCCGGCTGGTGATGAAGAGTTCATAAATCCCAACCAGAAAATAGGTTTGCTTGGCGGAGTAGAAGGCCCGATGCGTGCTGGCGCGACCGTAGTAGGAGACACGTGCCGCGGGACGCCGATGGCCAGGGAGGTTGGAATAGTGATTTCAGGAGAAGGCAAGAGAAAGAACAATGCTTTGCGGGTGCTTATATTGACTTCTGAAGGGGCGTGTCCATGTCTTCCCTCTCTGTGGACAAACTCCTTTACACAGACAGTTTGTAAAGAAACATACAGGATTGATGCAAATGATCATAAGACATGTACAAACACACAGTGTATTTACATCACAGACATTAAACACACGAGTAAGGTCCGTAACGTTAATATCATTGAGTAATGTCCCCTT